GTAGAAGAAGAAGAAGGATTGGAAGTAGCAGATAACAGGAGCTGAAGTAGTAGGAACAGGAGCTGAAGTAGCAGGAACAGGAGTTGAAATAGCAGGAACAGGAGCTGAAGATCTGGTAGAAAGTTCAGTAGAATCTGAAGTTCTAGGAATGAAGGCTGGCTTGAGACGTTCTGTCGAAATATTGACAACTCTTCCTGAAACATTAACTGCAAATAAATGATCAGAGATACGTTTCTCAATAGGAAAAGGGCCAGAATAAGGAGGTTGTAGTGACTTCCTAACAGTATCTTCTCGAATCCAAACATGAGTACAATCAAAAAGATTCTTGTGAACAAAAGGTGATCTTTGCAATGATGACTTGTAGGAGATGATCTGATATTCCTCATATGAATCCTGTGTTTTTAAGAAAGATTTCAGGATCTGCAGGAAAATCTTCTTCAATGAAAAATTCTCCAGGAATACGAAGAGTGGATCCATAAAGAAGTTCTGCAGGTGAAGCTTTTAAATCTTCTTTGAAACACGAACGTAATCCCAAAAGAACTGAAGGTAAAGATTCTACCCAGTTGGTTGTTTCGTGGCACATAATCGCTGCTTTCAAAGTCCTATGCCATCTTTCCAGAATTCCATTTGAAGCAGGATGATAAGCAGAAGTTCTAATCCTTTGGCATCCAATTAGGTTTGTTAAAGCTTTGAATAAAGCTGCTTCAAACTGAGGACCTGATCTGTTGTAATGCTGATAGGAGAACCAAAACGTGCTACCCAATGTGAATAAAATGTTGTAGAAATAGTTTCAGCAGAAATCTCAGAAATAGGAACAGCTTCAGGCCATCTGGAAAACGATCAATCATAGTAAGACAATAACGGTAATTTTGACAAATAGGAAGTGGTCCAACAATGTCTAAATGCACATGCTGAAAGCGTTGATCAGGAATTGCAATCTTAATTGGAGAATCTTGGTGTGTCTTGAAATCTTCGCACGTTGACATGGAAGACAAGTTCGAGTCCATTCCTTCACATCTTTCTTCAAAGAAGGCCAAATGAATTTCAGTAGTAATTGTTTAGATGTCAATCTGCCGCTGGGGTGAGCGAGTCCATGAACAACATCAAAAATTCTCTTGCGTAAGAGTTTAGGAACATATGGACGAATTAATTCCGAAGAGCAATCACAATAAATAGGTATGGTTGATCCTGAAAGAATAAGTTTCTTCAACAGAAGTGAAGAATTTGAAGAAAGTAAAACTTGAAGTTCTTCATCTTCTTTCTGATAATTAGCAAGTTCTTCTAAAGAAACTATAATAGGCATTGAAATAGATTCAATTCTTGACAGAGCATCAGCAACTGAATTCATTTTTCCAGAAATATAGGTAATATTTGTAGAGAATTGAGCAATAAAGTCCAATTGTCTGATCTGTCTTGGTGACGCTTTATCCAATTTCTGACGGAAAGCAAAAATCAAAGGTTTATGATCAGTTCTGATAATCAGTTGTCTTCCTTCAACAAAATGTCTGAAATGTTTAATAGCCAAATAAATGCTAAGAAGTTCTCTATCATAAGTGCTATAATTTCTTTGAGCTTTGTCTAGTTTCTTTGAGAAAAATGCTATTGGTTTGATATCGTCGTCAATAGACTGTTCAAGTGATGCACCAACAGCAAAGTCAGAAGCATCACAAGTTAAAATAAGAGGAGCATGAGGAGCAGGATGAGAAAGGGTAGTAACTTGTAAAAGTTCTTCTTTACATGACTCGAAAGCTAATTCCGCTTCTTTAGTCCAAGAAATAATTCTTCTATCCCTCTTGCGACTGTCCTTTAAATATTCTGTTAACAGAGCTTGATGATTTGCAGCATCCTTGAGACAGCGACGATAATAATTGATAATTCCTAAGAATCTGCGTAATTCATGAAGTGTCTTAGGTTTAGGATAATCAATAATTGATTTCACTTTTTCGGATGTAGGTTTAACTCCTTGGTTAGAAACTAAGTAACCAAGAAAAGAAATCTCGCTTTGACCGAAAAGACATTTAGCGACATTGATTGTCATTCCAGCTTGTTGAAGACGATCAAAAATAATGCGTAAGTGAGCAATATGTTCTTTCTCATCTTTAGAAGCAATAAGAATGTCATCAAGATAACAAAAGGCAAAACTCAAATCATTAAGTAAAGAGTTCATGAGCCGTTGAAAAGTTTGGGCTGCGTTTCGTAAACCGAAAGGCATTACGACAAATTCAAAAAGCCCAAATGGAGTAGTGACAGCTGTTTTGTGAATATCTTTTTAGCGACGGGTACTTGATAGTACGCTTTAACTAAGTCGATTTTAGAAAAGATATTCTTACCAAAAAGTGAAGAAGAAAAATCTTGAATATGAGGTAAGGGATAACGATCCGGGATAGTCACTGAATTGAGTGCACGATAATCACCACACAGTCACAAGAATTTTGTTCCTTTTTAGGTACCATATGTAGAGGGGCTGCCCAGGAGCTGCTTGAAGGCCTGCAAATTCCTTGCTCCATCATAGACTTGAATTCTTCCTTGGCACATTTAAGTTTCTCAGGAGTAAGTCTTCTGGGAGTCGAAAATTTAGGAGAACCTTCCGTAACGATATGATGTTCAACACCATGTGTTTTACCGAGGAAATTGGAGAAAAACGGGTGAGTCCTGGAAATTCGGTTAAAAATTTGTGGTACACAGAATCAGGAGATGTGGTAAAAATTGACAAATGTGCAACTTCTTGAATTTTTCCAGTATTCATAAGACCGGTAACATTATCAATCAATTTCTTGTTTTTAATGTCAATTAGGAGATTAAAATGACAAAGGAAATCGGCGCCTAAAATAGGACGTTGAATATCCGCGACACAAAATTTCCATTTGAATTCTCTCCTTAAACCGAGGTTCAAAATTAAAGTTTTAGAACCGTAAGTATTAATTTGAGTACCATTTGCGGCAAAAAGTTTTAAATTAGTATGCCACGGCTTCAATAAACCTTTTTAGGTAACAACGATATATCAGCGCCCGTATCGACAAGAAAATTCAAATTTGAATGTCTGTCGAAAAATAATGAGGCGATTGTTAGAAACACCGTCGTAAGCAGCCTCAGTCTTAAGCGGCGTTTTTAGTTTTCCTGTGAAGCCAAGAATGTTTTGGACATAGAACAAGGTAAAGTACATCGTTTAGCCTTATCACCAAACTTCTTATGGTAAAAACAAATTGATGTATCTTTAATATCTTTATTTGATTTGTCTTTGTTACGCGATAACGATCTAAATCTTCTATTCTCTCTAGACCGGCTTTTGGAACGATCTCGACGACGAGAAACTTCAAGAGCTTCGATTCTTCGTAGCAAATCGGCGAAATCCGAAGATTTATTATTTGCATTATTGGAAACTTCCGCGACTTGCAAACCGCCGTCCCGATCAGCAATTTTATCGGCTAATTCCGCAAGTTTAACAAGAGGAACATCTCTACTACGGCTAAAGTCGTTTGAATTCTATGTGGTAAGCGTTGAAGCCAAATCATTTGCAAAACACTATCTGCTAAAGATCCTCCAGACAAATGACGAATTTCTCGAAGTAATTCCGAAGGCTTTTTATCATTAAGTTCAATTCCAGCTAATATTTGTCTCAAAACGTTTTTCCTCTGAATCCGTAAAGCGATTATTAATATTTTCTTTAAATAATTATATTTATCTGTTTCAGGTGGATTTTCAATGACTTCAGATATGTTTACTAAGGCTTGTTCATCAAGATGACGAATGACAGAACTATATTTAATATCATCTGATCGAATTCGATAAACCGTAAACTCACTTTCAATAGAAGCAAACCAGAGTTTAGGTTGTTTATGCCAGAAAGTCGGTAGTTTTAATAAACGAAACTCATTTGAGTGAATTTGTAACATAGGATCACTCACCTGATGTCCAGTTTGAGAAGGTAAAATTAATATTATCTGATCCAACCTGATTTGATCCGCTCGCCAAATCCATATCAATCTGTGTATCCGAACAGGGTCTAACTGGTGATCTATCGATTGGCATTTTCCTCTTGTTCCAGGAATCCGATAAAATGATTTGAGAATTTCCGTGAAGGACTAATCCGCCTCTGATGTTTCAAAGATCCGGAGAATGAATCTCTTAAAATCAGAATATCCAGCAATTCTTCCAAGCGATGATAATATTTCGCAGACTTCAAATACGACGATCACTTGGCACTTATTCGCGCATCAGCCTTTAAAATGCGTCGGCTTAATATCACGTCGGCTTTAATATCACGTCGGGGTCACCAAAAATGTAGCGACTTATAAATAAATTCACCAGATCTTTGAAAAAGTAATGTTTATTCATTGAAAGTATAAAGCGAAAGAACAAAAGAATTAATATGTAACAAATAAATGAATGAATGTGTTGTTATGGAAATATTGATTTTTCTTAAAAACATTATGTATATTAATGAATTGAAGTTATTACAAATGTATAAAGATGTAAAAGTGTAAAAGTGCAGTGAAAAGTGTAAGGTGTAATAAAAGTGTAGAGTGTAAATGAAAGGTGTGGATGATGAATGCTACAGTTTGTCACGTTATTTTCCCGAGAGAGGAAAATCCACTCGGGAGAGAGTTTATAAACCTCAATTACTACAGAAGTCACTTCATCAATGCAGCAATCCCAAGGATGCACTTTTTGGGTAATTATATTATAACAGTAACACACAATAGCTGCAGTACGAGGTAATATCATTTAATTGTCAATAATAATAATAATAATAACCGAAATTCAAACTATATAGTATATGCATGTCATATCAAATTTAATTAATTCTAATTATGCTATTGTTGTTACACAACGCATTACTTGAGGGTCCGTCGCATATCAACAATGCAGAAGCGAGGAAATATCCTATCCATGTGAAAAGGACAATACGTATAGCCCCAAAGAGGACATCATTACATACCATTGCATCGCAAACATCCAAGTTAGTCATTAATGGTACGCTTTTCAAGTCCTCATATAATCAGATATATCAAAATATATACACTAGACAGTATAAAGTTTATACAAATGTTAATACACTGTAAGTCAGGTAATTTTTGTGTGGTTAGTTGTCACTTGATAACTTGTAGCAATTAGTGCCATATACCGTCACATAACTTTATCATGTATAATTTATTATGAAATAAGTCATTTATTATATTTGCATATTCCAGATACACACACAGCAGCTTAAAAGTGTTGTTAAAATCACTAGGTATCAAGATTGTCACAAATTAGGATACTAGGACACAAGCCTAGCTGCGGAGAAAGTATTATTTATCCAAATTTGATATATTTAGTGATGTGTAATTTTTAATATCATTTAGTAGTTAAAATTGTCTTACTATATCATAATAAGTATATTATTCAAAACCAAATGACTTTAGGTTATTTAATTGTCAAATAAATGTTTAAGTTTATAATATTGAACTTAGTATTTGTTAATATGTGGTTATATATAGATCCGTTTATCATGGCACATATTGCTTTAGTTCACACATTTAGAAGGATTATTACACTTATTAAGAGCTTTTTAACTAAAAATATCAATGTTTTGGTATCTATTCAGTATTATTACAAGGAACACTGCACTATGTATGATTCCGTAATATGTTATGTAAATTGTTAATAGAAAGTCATTTACTAAATACTTATATTTTATGTTTACACTAGGAGACGACAATAGATGAAGTGCCACCAATTAAACTCAGAAGGATTTCAACTGAGTGTTGACATATAAATGTAAACGAAGGAAAATCACATACCCAGGACACCATATGCACTGATGGTGTAATATAAAAGTCCACATTTATCGATGATCACTTGCAAGATAGCTATTTTATCCTGTGTAGTATACAATAGATGTATCTTCAGGAATATTAACTTTGAACAACAATAAGTGGTAATTGAGTATTTTTGGAGTTTAAAGTTTGTATTACTCACAATTTAAAGTTTTAAGTCATAAATTTTATACACCGCGAGCAGTACTGTTTCCATGCACATTTTAGGTCTGTACGATCACTTATTTTAAGATTTTAATATTATAGAGTTTTGTAATAAATTTATAATTTCAACATATGTAATTACTACTTTAATAGAACATCCTTCACTAATTTGTTCTTACACTAGATTCAATGCATATTTTACATCATTACATACATGTGTAAATTTCCTAATTAAACAAACAGTTAATTGATTATTATGTGTAATGAATATATCATTGCTCGTAGTAGATTTATTACTTCAAAACAAACTATTTCTAGATTATTATTAGTAATAAGATGTTTTAAGGTTTATATCGTTCAATGATTAGTATTGATATTTATGTGCAAGACTTTTGCAATTTAATACGATCTGCTTGTCATTAGCATTTTAACTAGTTTTAACACAAAAAATATAATTGTTCCACTTATATGAAGATTAATTAAGAAAAGTTATAGACTTTGAGCATTACTATCCAATGATATTATGGAAACAGCTAATAGCTATCAATATTTTATATAATGTAAAGTTACGTAGTACGATGTGTGTGATTATTATTGAAATGTCACATGTCAATTACTTATGCATCTCAATACATGTGTCCAGATGCAGCAGCACATGGGATCCCAACAAATTAACTAAAAAACGTACAAGATTGAGGCACTGAGGTACAATTATAAGGAAATATAACACCACCAGCTCTCCACACATATCAATAACGTAAGAGCTTAATGTTTATCAGTAATTATTTGTGAAGAGATCACTTTGTTCCACATTGGCGTTTAGTTATTATAATTTACGCAAAAATGTGTAATATTTCTTTACTAACGCATATACTTGTTCATTTAATTAAATTAAATAGTAATTATGGTTTATATAAATATTAATATTATAGTACTTGACACATTAGTTGGTGAGTTCACAATTTTAGTGTATATTATTATTATTAAGTAGAGTGTTTACTAATTATCTGTGAATTTACTGCGTCACATATTTCTTTTCACTGTTTATGTATGATAAATATTTATATCAATAAGTCGATTATATGGTCATTATGGGTTACAGGGCTGTCCCTAAGTAACTCTGTGTGCCCATATATAAATTTAAAACGACCACACAGACATATATAAGTCACTTATCTTTTGCAGGTCATCAGGATGGTAATATATTGTCTCACGTGGACCACCAGCAGTTTCAGGAGGCTTCATACACCACAGTCCCTCCGAGGAAGACCAGACTGATGAGGCTGTGTTGCAGCGTCAAAGGGATGAATATCCACTCAATTATATATCACTATTTTATAATTAATTTGCCACACATCGAATATCATATATTTATATGTCAGTTGTAATTATTATCACTAAATGAGTTACAATTTACACACTAGTATATAATTTTAGTTAATTAGTAACATAGTACTAAATTCTCAGTATATCACAAGTTACAATATATCAGTTTACAAAAGATATTAAGTTTATTTAAATGTAACTAGTTAACTACCTTTTCACAGTATATCAAATAATGCAGCTAATCAATTAAAGATTCATATATTTGAGACCCAATATTAGTTTATTTATTAATATCTCAAAAAACATAAAAAGTATATAGAAAGTATATTATAATACAATCACAGTCTTGTGTAGAATTAGCTAATAGCCAGCCACTATATAATACTTATGCAAATATCTTATTGCATTTATAAGATGTCATTTGCAAATAATCCAGATTTCACAGATCACTGCTTCAATAGAAAAGCTTTACTTATCTTGTAAATTAGAACTAAATTACTCACTAAATAATCTAAATATAGATCATTTATTCAGAGTACATATATGAAGACGTATCTATATCTATAGAACTATAATTTATGATGAATACTTATTCAAATCACTATATATCTATCTTAGAAGTGTAAACAGTCATCAAAATATAGACAGTTTTGTATATTAATTCAATTCTTATAGAGAGATTTCTTATTTCACAGAGTTCATGAGGAGGATGAAATATACACTATAACCGTCCACCATTAGCTCCAATATCCTATGAATAAGGGATCTTCTTCAATTGTTAAATAAATTATCTTCTCAGGATAATTTAAAGTCGAATAGGCACATCCAGATGGGTGAGTATAGAAAGTTCACAGTCATTGCAAATTACACTATATATATATATATGTTCCACTAATCAATATCTTAGAAGCAGGCACCAAACTAATATTAGATTTTTGCTTATTTATTTCAGATAAGAGAGGCAGTCAGACATAGTTTATGGAGACATTATGCAAAAAGAAGGCACTAAGATCTTATATCGTGTAGTGCACATACTACGTATAGAAGAACATGTATCAATATCGTAAGTTTACTAAATATTGACACTAATAACCAACTTGTTTATTCAAGTATATATTATTTAAGAATCAATATTAGATTTAGCAATAAAGCCAGAACTAGTACTAAGGTTTATTCTCATCTATTGCAGATGAAAGAAGCAGTTACTACATCACAACGAGAGTACAGTAGTAAGATACGAACAGCTTATCATAGTAATATTATTATCTGATATGAAAAGGCATTAAGCCTTAACTAATTTATGCATTATGTATCAATAATTACAGTGGATTTCTCATAAGTCTAGCTTATTACGTATTCTATTATTTGTCAATAATTAAGTAAAGACACTGTATGTTAGCACATGAAACTTATATTGTGTTTATTGTTTATTACGTTCATAAACTATAACGTCTTAACTTATCTATATTAATAGATATATTTAATAGATATCCGAAATTTATTTAAATTGTAACATCTGTTAAACTCAATTAAGTATAAGCAATTTTAGTGAATTTTCTTTATAAATTCAACACATTTTAATTAATACTGTCTAATTTAAGTATTCATTAATTAATCAGTTAAGACACTAAATAGTAAACTTAATTGATCAATATCAAATACACTGTTTATTTAGTTTATATAGTTGCAATTTAATGACTCAAATATCGAGTATCAATTGTATATCGGACAGTAGCTATCCGGACTTATATCAGTTATAATAACTGCCAAAATTAATTGCTTATGAATAACTTCAGTAGATTTCTTAACAATTCAACATATTTTAGTTTAGACAGTAAAAGTACACTATTGTTTGTTATTTAATTAATTAAATCACTATGTGGTACTTAATTATTCAATATCATGTTCACTATTTATATAATTTATTATTAAATTATTATTTGATGGCTTAATTAACCAAAGTTGATTATTTGTTGTTCAATAACTATCCGATGTATATTTAATTAATAGTATTTTAATAAATCACTTATTATGTAACTTAAAAATACGCGGTTTAACAGCGTCGACCAATTATAGGCTGCCAGCAGGCAGCAAGCAAGCTGCCAACCCACCTGAGCACGCGCGCACTGCGCAGAACATATGCGCCGTATAACTTTAACGCCACGTGTTGATTTTATAATTTCATTAAGTTAAGTCAAATATAATAATTGATATGTTTTTTACATAAACTCAGTTAGTATGACTATAGTTTAAGTGTTTATAAGTCAGAGAAGAATGTTAATATCACTAATAATCAATTTAAAATAGCAAATTTCAAATGATCACAGCCATAAATAACTAGGCCAATGATGTGCCGCCAACAACTTTAGAGGCAATGTAGCCAACGCAGAATTGAATACGCGAGCGCATTGATCTAGAGAGAATATTTACTGATTTTATAAAGTAAATTTAACAATAATTGGAATGATTTTAACAATTCTCAATCACTAGATAACTTCTTACAGTTATAAAGAACTCATATAAAATGTTTACTTTACCGTAGAAATACCAGGTCAAATTATTGGAGGCCCCAAAGACGTTTGACAGGTTTGCCCCAAGTGGGACAAGGATAGCAATAGTCAGAGATTGTAACTGTCTTTTATACATAAACTAAAGAGTTTTCACTGTCAAAGTTTTTACACAAGCTAACAAATAGGCATAGAAATACATTAAAAATATATTCCCATGTGAGAAAAGTATATAACACCGTGAATATAAACTTTTACTCCAAGTCCATTGGAGCAAAAGAGACAGCGACAGTCAGAAATGAAAACTATTGTTTTTAACATAATTAAACAATTCTGACACTGCAAACTTTCACAGGCACTACTTAATGTTAGTAAAAATATATTAAAAATATTTTCCCACATGTAATAATTGTCTAAGGACCAGAATATATACTTCTGGCATAGGTCTATTAGTAAGAGAGAGACATTGATAGTCTCAGCACAATTTCACTTATTTTATCTAGAATAGTTTATAGAAATGTCTAAGATTTATATATATGATGTAGTTCATCACAACAAATAATCTGGCAATGAAAAAGACCAGTTTTAATGCACTTTTAATTCACTTGTCAAGAGTTTAACTACCTGTCAAAAAGTCACCAGGCAGGCAGAACATGTGTGAATATTTCAGAAGCTTATTTTAAACAAACTAATTGTTTAAACGACTTGCCTCCATTTGCCATTAAACTTGGCACCACAAACAATAATCCAGTAATGTTTTTTGCACTCAGAATGCACTTAGAACCACTTTTACACGTACTACTGTACGGGGCGTACTCAGTGCACGTGCACCGAGAAGATAGTCTCTCAACCTTTTTTTTTTTTTTATAGTCAGGAAATTTGCCTAAACCAAACTTCGCCGTCCTGACCCCTGAGGGAGGGTCAGG